CAGTTTCGATTGGGCATCGTGGCGTCAATATGGTTCTTAGTTTACGAGTAAAGTATTAAATATGTATACTCACACTATCCATTATCATATCTCAATTGGTAATGACTTACAAATTATTTGATTTGAGGGAATAGCAGAAAAGGGAGAAGAGGAAATATGATTTTATTTTAAATAATTAAATTAAGTTGTTGAGTCAATAAAAAAATTAGATTAGTTATAATAATTATTCATTTTCTTTTTTTACCTCAAATTAATTAAACAATTAAAATAATTTAATAGTAATTTTTTCATTAAAAATAAGAGACATTAATTTAAATCACATAACATGTAAATGAAATAAATAAAAAATGAAAAAAAGCATATCTCCCATTGTGCAGTATAAACTAATATATATATATATACAAAATCTCACATATTATGTTTATACAAAATTTTAATTATTTATCTCTTCACTTTTAATTATTAAAATTTATCATGACTTTTTATATAAACAATAAGTATATTTAATAAATGTAAATAAATCTTAACCATTAAAAGTTGAGAGATAAATAATTGAAATTTTGTATAAATATAATGTGGAAAATTTATATATAAGTAAATCTCATATATATATATATATATAGAGTTTTCTAATATATGCCCTGAGACAACTTTTTGTCATAAATGCATATTGAAAAATGTAAAGCTAAAGTTAATTTTAATATTGGTGCCTAACAAATAAATTTAATTAGACAGTTAATAAATTAAAGATTAAACTTTGTTTTTCCAATACAAATTTATAATGAAATAGTATATTTATTACAATCTTAAAGTGTAGGTTAAAAAAATCTATATATATCCCAAAAAAAAAAAATAGAGTCTTAACTTACATTTGGAAATTGAAATCGCAATTCAAAATTTAAAAATCCATTTTATTAAATGTTAACACTTAGATTTAAAAACCGATTATATATTATAATATAATAATATTCTAAATTTAAATATCAACATTTAATAAGATAAATTTTTAAATTTTGAATTGAGTTTTAATTAAATAAAACAAAATAATTTAAGGTTAGATTCCGAATTATTTTAAAAGTTGGAACTGATATGCACTTTTTTTTCCAAAGAACACCCTTTCTTCCTTAAATTGTTGGCCTAATTATTTGTTCCTTGCCTCCCAAGTTCCATCGCTTGAAATCTAAGTTTGAAAAAAGGGAACTTATAAAAGATTAGTAAACTTTTACTAATTCTAGAAGTTGAACTTATTGATAAGTAAGTATTGTTGTGTAAATCAATTTTAAGATTCAAGAATTAAGGTCAATACTAAAGAAAATTAATTTTCTTGAATATAGTAAGCATTCTTAGGATCGTTTTGAAGAGATTAGTTTTAATGTACGTGAGAATTGACCAAAGAAAACTCCATTGTCCAAACCCAAAAAAAAAAAAAAATTTATTAAGAGTTTCTTATTTTGTAATCTAAATTGCAAAACATGAACAGTTGAACAGTGAGACAACTCCAACATCAAAGAGTTTGTCTTCCATCCAACAATTTACATTATGCATTTTGAAATGCACATTACGATTTGTTGTACAAAAATATGAAGATTAGTATCAATAATTATCAAGCAAAAAAAAAAAAAAAAGAGTCAAATTACCTTATAGTCTTCCTTAAAAATTGGAGAATCTAATCAAAACTTGTGAAGTCGGCAAATTGGCCTGTTTCTTTCAATCTTCCTTCTTTTTTTAAAAAAATAATTTTAGTTTAATTTTGTATGGAGGATTCATATTTATGATGTATCTTAGTTGTCAAATTATTATATATATGAGTAATGTTCAATGACTATAGATAGGCTATAGAATAGCAATACAGATTAAGAAACAGAATATGAACCTTAATATTAGCCTTTTTGAGGAAGGTTTGAATCGAGTACATATGAATGAAAAGGTCAACATGTGTCTGCCCTTATTTGCATTAAAAATTCAAAGAAATTGACCAAAACTTTAAGGACCCCATGTTCCAACACTTCTGCCAAAGCCTAAGGAAGAGATTGAAGCATCCACCACAAGATGCTTTGGCTGTGGTCCTCGTCCTCACCATACGTAGGATTATATGCATTATCAATATTATTCTCTTATTTTATATATTTTTGGTTTTATTATCACAAACTGGAGACTTTTTGTACGAGTGGTTGGGGGACTATTAATTTATTGAAGCAGGTCAATGCTTTAGATTAAGCTTTGAATTGCGTTGTTTTAGTGTGAAAGATTCAGATTAATAATTTTGAGGATGTGATATCGACGCCCTCACTTTAACATATATGATAACACATAGTTGTTTTAAGTTTTTTTTTTTTTATTATTATTTTGGTTGCACAATAAAAGGCAACCATCTCTCTCATCCCTTATCTCACACTATCCATATGCTATTCGACTCGAACTTATGACTTCTTACTTCCAACGGAAAGAGATGACCACTAAATTACTTAAATCGTTGCCATAATTGTTTTAACTATTAAAATATTATATATATATGTAATTAGTTCAACTGGTGTTTTTATATTATATGAATGCCTATATTTTTAAGTTTTTTGCATATAATTTTAAATTAAAAATAAAATTTTTTAATAAATTTACTATAGAATATATTACAACCAAAAGATATTTGTATTAGTGTCCATAATTTTATGCATTTTGAAAAAATTGACCAATGTGAAAAAAATCCAGCTTCATTTTTTACTTTTTCTGAAGAATATTTGGTGTAATGCAGTACGCTGCTTCTGTTCCTAAACTTGGTTTTTTTTTTTTTTTTAATCTGTTCATATTTCATACGTTTCACCAGACTTTTATTTAAAAAGCATGCATAGAATAACTTTGTTTTCAGTAGTTTGATGGACTGTTCATATCTATTCAAAAACTCTAGGAACAATTAAGAATATATAAATTCATTACCTATTTTCAAAAAAAAAAAAAAAGAATATATAAATGAATAATTTTTCCTCCAAAGTTGCAAACATCTTTCACACCGCTAGCTAAATCGCTCACGTAAACATTATTTAGTCTAAACTTATCTATGTTATCAATTACGTTTCAAACCAATATAAAAGTGCACTTTAGAAATTTTTTGGGTTGATTTACTCATCAATGTACAATTTTTTTTTAAAAAAAATAGTAATAATAACAAAATAAATAATAAATAATTGTATGTTTCTCTTTTTGACCATTTCGTCTCGGGAGGACATTATAGTGGGCCGCAATTCCCATAATTGGATGAGGGAAAATTTCAAACCCAACACAATATTATGATTCTGTCAAAGATATTAGTCTGATTCTGTCAAATAAATTAATCTGATTCTGTCAAATATATTAATCTTGTTGGCATGGAGTTGAGATTTGTTGAGATGTATCAATTGTGTCTGGGGATTCTTTTTTACAGTACTTTTTTCCACAATAATAACTTGTTAATTTATAATAATTAAATTAATTTTAATTTATATTTTACATACTTTTATAATTATATTAATATATAAAAATTTTAAAATAATTATTACATAACA